AAACATTATTTTCGATTGTCCCATGAATTATCTGCATTTGTGAGAGAAAGTTTTGAGTTTTAGAAAAAGTATTATACTTTTAAAATTCTAGGACATGCTCCCGACAATAATAAGGTTAGGTTTCACATTATCTTACAGTTGTTACAAAGGGGCCTTCAGATGTATTCTAGGGTATTACGAAGAGACCTTCTGAACCTAAGTAATGTAGGTTCTGTTTGACAAATTAAGAAAGATATTTATATAGATATATAGATTTGTTTCAAGAAACGGACAATTGTAGGGAAGATGAGTTAAAGTTATCTCTTCCTACATGTTGCAATTAGAGGTCAAGGAAATGTTTCGTTTCGTTATTAAAAGTCTATTACAAAACTATAGTAAATTACATTTAAAAATTTTGAAATTTTCAAAAGTTATGAAACGATTTCTATATAAAAATTATGCAACTTAAAAACAAATTCTAAATAAATTAAATTTTCATTGATTTTTATTATTAAATTTAACAGTGATTTATATAATAATTGACTTCTTAAAATGATTAACAAAGAAAATAATAACTTATATCAAAAATTTAATGCAAAACCTAGAAAACATTTTGTTGTTTTATTAATAAACATTTTCCTTTTTCATTATTATTAAATAGATCACATATATGGTTCTATTTGTTTCAATTTTATTTTAAGTATAATTAAAATTTACAAGGTTATTTAATTTTTTTTTAATTTTTATAAATAGCTAAAAAAAGTTTAATCGAATGGAATTATTTTTGTTTGTTTAAAATCGATATAAATTAAAAAGAGATCTAAAATTTAAAATAAAATTTACTTAAAACGAAGAATTTAGTTTTTGGCTTTTAATTAAAAGAACAAATTTAAATGAATTTAAAATTAGCAAACAAATTATATTAAATTATATTTATAATTAAACAAATTTTCTGAATTCAAAATAAATTTAAAAGATTTGAGTTTATTGCTTTAGAAATTATTGTTTGTTATAAGGAAACACAATTAAATTGTTTAATTTTATTAATACCTATAATGTTTTAAAGATTTTCTTTTATACAATATAAAATAAATGTTTATTAAACATTTAGCCCCTTAGAAACTATAGTGGAGTCTATAGTCGAGACTATAGCCTAGTTTATAGTCTAGTATATAGTCTAGTCTATAGCCTAGTTTATAGTCTAGTATATAGTCTAGTATATAGTCTAGTCTATAGTCTAGTCTATAGTCTAGTCTATAGTCTAGTCTATAGTCTAGTCTATAGTCTAGTCTATAGTCTAGTCTATAGTCTAGTGTATAGTATAGTCTAGTTCAGTCTATAGTCTAGTCTATAGTATAGTCTAGTCTACTCTATAGTCTAGTCTATAGTATAGTCTATAGTCTATTCTATAGTCTGGTCTAGTCCATAGTCTTTTCTATAGTCTGGTCTAGTCTATAGTACAATCTATAAGCTAGTCTATATTATAATCTATAGTCTACTCTATACTCTATAGTCTAGTCTATAGTCTAATCTATAGTCTACTCTATAGTATAGACTATTGTCTACTCTACAGTTTAGTCTATAGTTTAGTCTATAGTTTAGTCTATAGCCTAGTCTATAGTTTAGTCTATAGTCTAGTCTATAGTCTAGTCTATAGTCTAGTCTATAGTCTAGTCTATAGTCTAGTCTATAGTCTAGTCTATAGTCTAGTCTATAGTCTAGTCTATAGCCTAGTCCATAGCCTAGTCTATAGTCTATTCTATAGTTTGGTCTATAGTCTAGTCTATGGTCTGGTCTATAGTCTAGTCTAGTCTATAGTCTAGTCTGTAGTCAAGTCTATAGTCAAGTCTATAGTCTAGTCTATAGTCTAGTCTATAGTCTAGTCTATAGTCTAGTCTACAGTCTAGTCCATAGTCTAGTCTATAGTTTAGTCTATAGTCTAGTCTATAGTCTAGTCTATAGTCTAGTCTATAGTCTAGTCTATAGTCTAGTCTATGGTCTAGTCTATAGTCTAGTCTATAGTCTAGTCTATAGCCTAGTCCATAGCCTAGTCTATAGTCTATTCTATAGTTTGGTCTATAGTCTAGTCTATGGTCTGGTCTATAGTCTAGTCTAGTCTATAGTCTAGTCTAGTCTATAGTCTAGTCTGTAGTCAAGTCTATAGTCAAGTCTATAGTCTAGTCTATAGTCTAGTTTATAGTCTAGTCTATAGTCTAGTCTATAGTCTAGTCTACAGTCTAGTCCATAGTCTAGTCTATAGTTTAGTCTATAGTCTAGTCTATAGTCTAGTCTACAGTCTAGTCTATAGTCTAGTCTATAGTCTAGTCTATAGTCTAGTCTATAGTCTAGTCTATAGTCTATAGTCCATTCTATAGTCTGGTCTATAATAACTTTACTAAGCGTTTATTAATACGAAGGTTATTCTATGGGGCCTGTTACAGAATTCCAATCCGTTTGGAAGTGAATTATTACTTAGTAAATTATTGATTAAAACTTTAAAAATTAATAACTTTAAACAAATTTCCCAATCCCACTTTTAAAATTTTAATGGGCTTCATTCCGAAAAAGTTGTCCCTTTCCTTTTTTTAAGAAAAAATGGGTTAAACAATTTCACTTTCAATCGGAAAGGAATTCTGTGACAGGTCCACTATATTGTAAATTGTAATTTATTGTTTAACTACAAAAATCTTAAAAATTCCTAATTAATTTTAAAATAGTTTTATTGATATAAGTTTATAAGATTTTAGGAAAAGTATTTTGCAATTTTTTAAAAAGGAGCAAAATACTAATCATAAAACTTAACTACACAAGCATAACACAGAGTTTAAATTCTTAAGAAGAAAGTGTATTTCAACAAATTTTAAATTAAATTTAAAAAAAAAATACAGGATCTGTTGAGATTTTAAGAAATTATTGTTAACAGTTTAACCAAAGTATTTTTAATTGTTTCAGAAAGTGTTCCTAAACATTTCTTTTGTTATCCATGAACTAGTTTCTTATATAAAATTTAACTCTATGTTATGCTTGTTTAATTTGTTTGTGTAACCTATAGTTATTTAAAAATATTTATTTATTTGTTTGTTTTGTTTATATTTATAATTCATTTGATTTGTTTATTTTTGTTTTCTTTTAGCTTAAATTTAAATTTATAACACAGATGACTTTATTTATCTCATTGTATTTGCAAAAAACATTTTGTTATAGTTTTTATTATTATAAATTATTCATCGTTTAGTTTAAGTGTTTTTAATATTTAAGAATTTGCTTAGCAGTGTTCTTAAATAATCAAAATGTTTTTGTTTTTTTGTTTAATAGCTGCTTGTTTGTTTTGTAAATTAGAAAAAAATGTTATTAAAAAAGAGATTAAAAAGTTAAAAAAAAAAAATAAAAATATTTAAGGTAAGAAATAAGTGGAAATGGAAAACATTAAATGAATTTTAAAGAACTTTAACTGAAACTAAAACACAATTGCAATGGTAACATTTGAAGGGTTATACCACAATTAGATTCGTACCTTCAAATTACAAAGTTTTTATCGTGAAAATTGGAATATTTTTGTTCTCGAAACGAGTTCGAAAACAAAAATGTTCGAGTCAGTGATGAAATCCTTTTCTGTGTGAGATCTCAGAAAATACTTAAAATTAATTTGATTCGTAGAAAAAACTATTGAACAAATATTTTCGTTCTTAAAAAGAGTTATAATGTAACCTATTTGAGTTTAATTTACTCAAATCGATTGGACAGCAGAAAATTTCAATGCACAGTGACCAAAGTATACTTTTCTAAAGCTGAATCCGAATCTGAATTTCTCCTTTACATCTGAGATATCCTGAAGTTTTGGCCCTTTTTGAGACGTTATAACAGCGCTAAGATGACTTCGTGAAGACGTCACTACTTCCCGAACTAGGTCTCTAGTACTGATTACGGTAATCGTGTTATTAACACATCAAGTGCTAGATAACTTGTGAGACTTTCTTGCATGTGGACATCTTTTTCAAGGTCCCCGTTGTCATACGGTGCGTACCGTGGAGATTGTAGTTGCTTTGACTGACTGTGTGCAAATACTGAGAACGTCATTTGGCCAAAGTTGTGTTCTACAGAGACACGTTTATGGACTTTTTATGGCCCTAAATAGAAGATATTAACTTGTATAAACATAAGTCTCCGCAGGTTGGTGCACCCTGCATATCAAACAATCGATCATTTGCGTACTGGTAATCGCTAACTGTGTTTTTAACCGTGTTATTGGCAGCATCAGAGACGCAATATCCCGGTTCATACAGATAAAGTTTTTCTTAATTTTCTTGCCTTAATGTCTACACAGAGAAACTTTTGTTTCAGCAACTACTTATTAATTGGATTGATTTGTTTTTGAACGATTGAGAAGAATAATAAAACAAGTTCCCGAGTACAAGAAACTCTGTACAACGGAAAATGGGAAGTTTTGTTCTTTAAAATAAAGCCGAAATCTGGAAAAACATGTTAAATCAACTTCTAGTCAGAACATGGCATATGAGAGATCATATTCAGTTTGTTTCATAAGATTTCATTAACATTTAAGAATTAAATTTAGGGAACTAATTTTAAATAAATTCATGAAATTAAAAATAAAATTTGCTCCTGAGATGTAGTACGAACGAATTCACATTTTAAATTTAAAGAAATTAAAAGGTTTTGTTTCAGAGGAATGATTTTTTCGGAGAAAATTACAATTAATGTTAATAAAATGTAAAAAAATTACAGTTTTCCATTTAAAAATTTTTAAAAAAGGATTTTACAAAACCAAATTATTCGGATGGAAATCTAAAATAAAGTATTGAAATTATATAAATATTTAAGAAAATTATAAAATTTATAATTTATTTTAAATTTGAATTAATTTGATTATTAATAAGTTAGTAAATAATTGTGTTAATAATTTCTTTTGAAATTAAAAAAAAAAAAATTAAAATGCTTTTTTTAAGTGAAAATCAATTTCATAATAATATATTTTTAAAAAAAGTGAAAAAAATATTTAATTAAAAAAAGACACAAACATACATACATAAACAAAGAAAAAAACAAGCATACATATTTAATACTAAATGTTTAAAGAAAAATTTTAAGAAATTTGAAAAAAAAAATACTTAAAACAAATTTAAATCATAAAGACCTTGTGGTAATTCTTATTTCTGTGGCTTTTATAACATTTTAGTTGTTTGTGTTTTTGTTTCATTATATATAAATTACTAGTAATTATTATTTAATTTAATAATATTATAGTTATAATTATTACATTATTTATAGTTTAATATCACATCGACTTTGTTTTTGTTTGTTTGTATTTCTAAGAATTATTTGTTTATATCAATTTATATCATCAGTTAATGTTTTTGAGTATGAGATTCTCAGCTACAAATGAAAGTTTTATATTCGATTTTGTTCGGGTTTTGTTATACATGATAAGAATTTTTTCTTTTTTTTTTTTGCTTAAAAACTACTACATATTTATTATTATGATTATAATTAAATTTTTAATTAATATTTTGGGGTTTTGAAATTTTAAGAGATTTTTTTTCTTTTTATACTAAAATTGAGTTTCTTTTTTTGGGGGGGAATTATTTGCTTAAGTGTTAAAAATAAATATTGATAATACTGGCTAAATGAGAGTTTTACTTTTTCTTTTTTTGCTTTTTATTATTTTTTGATTTAAAAGTTCTAGTTTTGTTTTTATTTTCTTTTAATATAGTGTTAGTAGCAGAAGAAAGAAAGTAAGTAAACCAAGCAGAGCAAAGCAGCATGTAAAGGAAACGTTAAAATAATCTCAACTTTTGTTTGTTAAAACTTGGTTGCTATTTATTTCCGTTTCCTTTAAGTTGCTTGATTTGCTTGTTTGTTTGTCTGTTCGTTCATTGTGGTGTTGTTCTTGTGTGTGTTGTGTTGGTGGCTTTTAGTTCTTTGCTTTTTTTCGATTTGAAGGAAAAAACAAATAAAAATTTTAAAAGAGTATGTTTATTTGTTGTTTGTTTGTATAGTCGAGTTTGTATTTTATTATTTTTTTGCTAACATTTATTAAATTGTTAAATTGTATTTATTCTTATTGTAAGTATTACTTTCTAATTTGTTATTGTTTTTATAAGACTTTGTTAAACAAAGAAATTGTTAATTTGCTTTGGTTTTGCTTTTGTTTTTTATCAAAAATTTTGTATTTTTTCAGATTTTGCCAAAAAGTCAGTCAATATATTTGTTTTTTATTTGTTGGTAGCTATTTTCTAATAATTAAATATTTGGTGTAATAATTTTATTAAAGTTTAAAGTTGCCTGCAACTCTGCAGTTTGTGTATTTGTTGTTTTCTTTAACATTTTTTTTAGTTAAATACACAATATGTTTTGTGTTCTTGTTATTTTATCTAAAGAAAGTAGTGTTTTTAGGTTAATTATTTATTTGATAGTTTTTCTTAAAAAATACTAAAAGTATTATTACTTTTCTTTTATGATTTCCTAGATAATTACCTTTAAAGAATTGAGTTGAGGAGTTTGTATGTTGAAAAAAAATATTGTTTCTTGCGGTAAGAAGTTGTCAGTGTGTTAGTTAGTAAGTGATTGTAAGTGAAAATATGGTCCAAAGTTTTCCCAGTATTACAAGATTACAATTTTTTTTTATTTAGTATGTTTTGTTAAGGACACAAAAACAAAATATAATAAAAACGTTATTAAAATAAAAACAACACACAAAATGAAAACTTGAAAACATTAAATATTTATAATAAACGAGTTCATTGGTTCTTCAACTTCATTATTATCTTCATGTTCGTAATCAACGAAAACTTGTTCATCTTAATCGGAGGGATTAACTATTTGTTAATGTTATTATTAATAACTTTACTTAAATTATCATAATAATATTATAAATATTATTATTATTATTAAACACAATTGACAGCGCCTCTTCTAGCTTATCTTTTTAATCATATTTTACATTTTTCTCTCTCAATCTTTGTTTAGTTTAAGTTTTCATTTAACTTTTGAACTTTATCTGTGTTTGTTTTTGTGTGTGTGTGTGTATTTATATTTATTTATTTTTAATGATTTCTGATTTTAGTTTTACTTCTTCTTTATCATTTGTACATTTTAGGTGGTTTTTTTTCTTATGTTGTTGTTCTTGTGGTTGATTTCTTTTCATTTTCTTCTTTTATTTGTATAAAAAAATGTTGTTTCCTACTCACAGGCATAAAGTTTATGTTTATTTAATGAAAAATGTGGACTTATTAATATTGTACTGCTGCGGGTAAGATTTCTGTAAAAAAGATACCAAAAGTTTTGTGATATAAAAGATACCGTAGTATTGTATAAAACAACAAACAGAAAAAGTGTTTGTGTTAATGGCGTAAGAAATAAACAGTTAGTTATTAACAGTTAAGTAATTTCTTTTTTTGTTTGTTCACTTACTTGAGAAATTGTGGCAATAATGAAGTCCAGCCACCTTTGTCTTGTTTTAATGTTAAAAATAATTCAAAAGTTGAAACGGTATTTGGATCTACCTTAAAGGAAGCAATGCGCCTGTAATAATAGAAAAGTTAGTATATAAAAACTTCTTTATATGAATGTAAATGTTGGTTCAGGGGTGGTGTTTAGCAAATATTCAAAATAGTCTAATACTCGGTTAATGTTTGGTAAAGTAAAGTTTCAAGGTAAAATATCTGAAAGTTCGTCTAAATGTTTGGGACTATTATAGGTACAATGTTTTGAATAATTTCAGATTCTATTCAGTTCTTAGTTAGTTGGTAATATATAAAATACTTTTAAGTGTTCATTTAGTACTTGAATCGAACGCAAATGAACTGAAGAAAAAGTAATAAAGATGGAGGCGTCGTTATTCAGAACTATACGAAAGTTTGGAAGATGACATGGATATGTAATCTTCGTAGATTTGATACTGATTGAAGTTCAGTATTAAACCTACGAAGTTCGTGCTACGATAAGGATAGAAGAATTGTGATATAGACGAGCTCCTAGGGCTGTTGATATTTATGCTAAAGAGACCAAAAGTGAACTATCCGAAGAAGGTTGTGCACATAGCGTAAAAGACGTTAATCTTGTTCAACAAGCCACCGCAAAAGAGTCAACAATATCCTTCCACGTATTTTTTTATGCTGGACGGCATTAGGAGAAATACCAAATCAAGAGACACCGACAGGATGTAGCTAGATTCGAGAGAATCGCTGGTCTTGTAAGAAACATCTTTGAGGGTTTTTTCTGCTATGGAGCAGCAAGTGGTTGATGCTATTAGTGCCTCACACATCCGTGAGGATGAACGATTGTCTATGCCGTTCTGAAAAAGAAAGGTGTTGACCTTTCTAAAGAAACGCTCAAGTCTTTGGTAGGAGCTGTGCAGGAGAGAAACCTAAATTACTATTTCTAACTTATGAACATTTGACAAGCAGTGTATTATCTAGTCTAGCCTGTAGTATATTCTGTAGTCTAGTCTATAGTCTATTCTATAGTCTCGTCTATAGTCTAATCTATAGTCTAGTATAGTCTCGTTTATAGTCTAGTCTATTGTCTCGTCTATAGTATCGTCAATAGTCTAGTCTATTGTCTAGTCTATTGTCTAGTCTTGTCTATAGTCTAGTCTATATTCTAATCTACAGTCTCGTCTATAGCCAAATCTATAGTCTAGTATAGTCTCGTTTATAGTCTCGTCTACAGTCTCGTCAATATTCTAGTCTATAGTCTAGTCTATTGTCTCTTTACAGTCTCGTCTGTAGTCTAATCTATAGTCTAGTCTATACTGCAGTACCCCCACGAAACCTAAGATACTTTTTTAAACTTATGAACTTTTGATAAGCATTGTATTATCTAGTCTATAGTCTCGTCTATAGTCTAATCTATAGTCGAGTCTATAGTCTAGTCTATAGTCGAGTCTATGGTCTGGTCTATAGTCTGGTATATAGTCTAGTCTATAGTCTGGTATATAGTCTAGTCTATAGTCCGGTCTCTAGTCTAGTCTATAGTATCTTCTATGATGTAGTCTTTAGTCTAGTCTATAGTCTAGTCTATAGTCTAGTCTATAGTCAAATCTACTCTATAGTCTAGTCTATAGAATAGACTATAGACTATAGTTTAGTCTATTGACTAATCAATAGTGTCGCTATAGTCTCGTCTATAGCTTTGTCTATAGTCTAGTACATAGTGTAGTCTATAGTCTAGCCTAGAGTCTAGTCTTTTGCCTAGTCTATAACCAGAAAGAATTCAATCTAGAAAATAAAGAATATATTCTTTATGGAATTCGTTCCAAATCTAGGAATCCAGAAGAAGTAGAACATAATGACCACTTTTAATTGGAATGATTAAGATGTTGAAATTGAATTTAAAAAATTAATTCATTTAAAGTCTTCAAAAAAATTAAAATTCTCTTATATTTTGAAAAGTTCTTTAAAATTAATAGAAATTTTCATGTTGCAAACAATTTTATTACCCCTTTAAAACATCTCAAAGCATTAAAACTTTTTAATTGAAACTACCTTTCAATTGCACCTACAAATTAGTTTAATAAAAAAACAATAAAAACTCAAGAAACTTGTGACCTTTAAAATGTAGCTCTTTTTTTGCAACAAATCTTACCTGGCACTGCCTGTCTCATCTTCAAAATCAATAAAAATAGCACAACCTCGAACACCACACGGTTCTCGTTCGGATGTTTTAATCATATCAGCCGCTATACGTGGTGTTAAATCCCAAGGCAAGGAGACTTCAGTACATGATAAATGACGACTTTTGGCAGCACGTAATTCGGCCTGCAAACGCTGTGAAAGTTCATTAACAGCAGCCGCATCCACATCGTCATCGTGTGCAATGCCAAAATGTTCTGTGGCTTCGGTGGGTGTGGACAATGTCGAAGAGACCGGCGACGGGGTCAAGGCGGCAATGGGTATGCCGGTGAGTGGGGAATGATGATGATGATATGACGACATGTGATTTGAAACTGCTGCTGCTACGGCTGTGGTATTGGTGGCTACTGTTGTGGTATTGGGTGCACAATACAAGAGATTATTGTTGTATGCATAATGAGCACTGCCAGTTGACTCAATGCCGACGACACCTTTGGGTGATGCAGAAGCTGCAGTTGCTGTTTCCATGTCAAAACTGTACTGGCTGTGCTGCTGCTGCTGTTGGTATTGGTGGTGGCTGGAGTTATTGGTGTGTGTGAAATAAGCTGAATTATGTTGTGGCTTAAGACCATCAACAACGTCGAAATGTTCTATGGGACTATGGAGAGAATTGTATAAAGTTGTTGCTGTCGTTGTGGTGTTGGTAGATGATGGTGTTGTCGATGCAGCTGTTAGATTTGTTGACGGTGTAGTTGTTCTTGATGAGGGTGGTGTAAGGGAACTTGTCCAGTCTGTAAAACACAAGAAATACATTTTAAATTAAGCTTTAACCATTAAGAAAATGTATTTATTTAAATAAAGTTTGCTAGCATTTAATTTACATGTGCTTTATTATTTCATTCTTTTTCAAATTAATTCGATTAAATAACAGCTATATATAACAGCCTTATAATTTTACCCAACACTGTTGTTCTCTGCACATTTGTATTTAACACATGTCCGTGAAAATTTCAAACAGCTGTTTTCCCAGTAAAGCGCAGGTCAGGAACTAACTGTTGTTACTTGGTCGCTTGCAGAAATCATATGTTTACATAAAAAAAAAAAAACAAAAAATCTCATCTGGAATAAAAAGCTTAACGCTACTCAACTTAAACAAACTCTGCAAACAAAAAGCTCAATATAATTAACTCAATTCCTAGTTGCTTGGAATTCTAGTTGCCAGATTAGATGATTTTTAGTAATTTTGGCGATTTTTATTTAAAAAATGTTGGAAGTTAATGAACAGTTGAATAAAAAATCGTTAATCAAAATTTATAACTGCCGCCGAATTAAGTATTTTGTACCGAATAACCATAAAAACTTGAAAATGTCTATATCTCCCTGTTTTGACATGATCTTTCTAAATAATTGTTCATTCATTAACATTTTTAATAGAATGAAAACATTATTATGGTACGTGATCCATTAAGGTAATCCCAAAACTATTTTATTTTATTTTTTATTTTCCAAACATTTCTAAAATAAAATATTCATTAAATATATAATTAGCAGTAAATTCATCTGGTAACTATATCTGGAATCTAAGGCTTTGCGTTTTTTTTTTTTTTCGTTTTACTAAAAAAATACTGAGAGCACAAAACACATTAGCTCTTTGAGTGAAAATATAAATTGAGTTTTACAGTTTTTCATGTTTTTCAAAGGGGAACGAGGAGAAGGGGGCAAAGAAATAAAAATACATATTGCAGAATATCACCTGGTAACTCAGCTGTAAAATCAGCCGTTCTCATGCAAGTACGTGCTTGCTGCAAAAAATAAATAATGAAAAAAAAAAACTAAATTCAACACAGAAATGATGATTTTGTTTTCGATGTCGCAAGCCGGTTTGCAATTTCTTGATATTGTATTTTGTTTGTTCTTCTTTTTTTCCATTTTAGTCTTATTTCGTTTTATAATGCAGCGTCAGCCAGTGACGTAGTAATTATTTAAATAAAAACGATTGATTGATTGAAGTATTTAGTGCAAATTATACTATTTATAATTATATTCGTGCTTTCATGCATATTACGATGGTTCCATTTTTTTAGAACTTTAATAAAAATACTATTCCGTATTAGGGTTTTACAAATAGACTTTTTGTCGAACAATTCACTGTTCTAAATTGACTATCTTGTCAAAAAAGTCGAAGTAGAAAAGTCGATTTTTTTAACCGTAAACCCCTATTTCACAAATAAATTTAAAGAAAACCTTAAGTACCTATCTATAGGGTTCTATAAATCGACTTTCGAATAATCGAACAATCGACTTTTTGTCGCAAAAAGTCGAAGTCGACTATTTTGTTCCAAAAAAGTCGATAACTCGACTATCGTCTGTGAAAAAGTCGACTTTGTTAATAAAAGTCGAAAAGTCTGAAAGTCGATAAGTCGAATAAAGTCGTAAAAAGTCGAAAAGAAGAAAAAAGTAGAAAGAAGTCAAAAATAGTCGAAAATTTTAAAAAAGTGGAAAAAAAGTCAAAAACTCTAAAATAGTCGGAAAAACTCGAAAAAAGTCAAAAAAAGTCGAAAGAAGTCGAAAATAGTCAAAAAGTCGAAAAAAGTCGAAGAGTCGGAAAAAGTTGAAAAGTCGACTATTTATAAAATACTCATAGTCGAAAAGTCGACTTTTAATTAAATGAAAAAGTCGAAAAATCGACTTTTCGTTTCAACTATAGAACCTATCTATCCTAAAATTGAATAGAATTCTATCTGATGATGATGATTAAGGTTTTTTTAGTTCAACGCTAAAAGCTGACATGTTGGAATCAAGATTAATGGATTCTAAAAGTAGACTGCTGAATAATACTCTAGTTGGTGAAAAAACTGCTTGGATTTCATGTTATAAGGTGAACTAAGAAGGACTGTAAAATGAATAGAAATAGTAGAAAGGCCCCTTTTTAATTACTCCTAAGAGAAAAAGCAAAAGAATCTAAATCATCATCCTGGCATTCACCAGCCAAAATTGGCATAAAAGTTTGCTTGGATCGTAGAGACTCAAATGATAAACGGAACGAATCAGCAGTGTCCCGTTTCTGTAATTCTCGCATCGAGAAAATCTGTCGAAAAATTCATGATCATCTTGTGTAAAACAGGGTGAATACAAGAAATTTAAAAATTTCCTTTTAAATTTTAATGAGTTACAGGTTAAAAATAATCTGAGTCACACTGTTAAAAACTGGAAGACTATTATATTTTAAGTTTTTTCTCGATTCGAGAAAATTACAGAAACGAGTCTATTTTGACAAACTTATGAATACATTTAGTCGATTTAGACAAACAGCAGGATCAGAATAAGATTTATGTAGTTTGAAAATATGGATGACAATGGAATTAATTCAATCCTTTATAATTAACCTTAGCAGTAAACTAGAAGTACGTCTAAAGCCATGGTTCCAACAAAATCAAAAGTTTTATCACTGATTAGTTAAGAAATGAGACTAGAGTTTCTGGAAACATAATTATTGCGGTTGCACAGCATGCCACTGATGTAAAATGTTAAAATCCACAAAAGTTTTTAATTAAAGAAAACTTTATATTAACGCCAAAAGTTAAATCGACACATTCCTATTTATACATCCACATAATCGACAGAATGTCAATAAATCCAATGTGGCAGCCATGCTTGCAGTAGTTGGGTATCATAATTAAAGGATAGTGATTGTAGTAATTGTATATACTGTATACATAACTATGTAATATGTACACATGACTTTTGGAAAGGGCAGACAGAAGGATATAAAGAAATAAACAACAAAAACTAAATAAAAAAGAAGGAAAGAAATATGTATTGCATTGTATGAATGTGTAGTTATTTATTCCTTTACAAAATTTTTTTCCAGTTGTGTACTTGTAATCAAGCCACAATTGTTGTCTTGTTGCTAACTTCTCGTAACGGTAATTACAGCAGTGACTGCCAAAGAAGCAACTGAAGCAAACAAATGAATGAATGAGCAAACGAATGGGTTAGTGAACGATTGTAGTACAAAACCGGTAAATATCCTTCAGAATTCTTGTTTTTTTTTTGGGAGGATTTGTATTCTGTTGTTGGACGTATGAGAGGAAATGTTTGGAAATAGTTTTATTTAATGTAGTGTGAATAGTAAGTAATTGGATTGGACTAACTGACGTAAATGGAAGCTTTTCAAAAAACTGACACTGCATTAGTTTTTTCACTATTTACTGGTAATACAAACAATGTCGCAATGAATTTAGCCGATTATATTGGACTTCAGTTATGGTTAACCAAAGGTATTTATTTTAATGTAATACATTCATAGTAGGCTGCAGGTTAACTAGCTTTAGATGTTTGTATCTAATATACACATTATTAATTGCCCTAGTAGGGAGCACAACTACCGGGTTATTGTAAATTTACATTTGTATACATTTTTAATGCGTTTTTTTTTTATAAAAAGTGTATTCAATTGTAAAATTAAATTGACTGCAATTTGCCGGAACAAAACAAAAACCACATATTAACTGTTTGAAACTTTTGAGAAAAGAAACTAAAAATTATATGTAAAAATGTATGTATGTTGAAGGTAAAAAAAAAGAAAAATATAAATTACAAAAGTAGGGCCACACACACTTTTTTCCGTTTTCCGTTATAAAGTTTTGTTTAGTTTCGTACTTTGTTTTTCCAGTTTATTTCACTCCCTTTAATTTACATTTACTTGTCTTGTGTGTGTGTTCGTTCATATATTGTATGTATATGAATGTGTCCAGTTATGTGTAAACGTATTTACATATCCATACGTATATATATACACTCAGCTTGGTGACAGGATGAAACAGGAAGTTGCATAATCCATGCCATACAAGTATGTTTGTAGTATGGCAGCAGTATTAGGCTTTCAGTTTTTTTGTTTGTGTTTCCATTTCCAACATCATTACTCTCTGTTATTGTTGCCAAGTCAAATTTTTCTATACGTTGAAACAAATGTATAAACATTCATACTGGACATCTAGTAAATACGGGGTAAACGTATGAATGAGTAGTTAAAGTGTTGGATAAAAATTGAAATTTCATTACAGACCATATTTCTGCAGTAATAACCTAAATAGAAATTTTTTTCTGTAGTTGAATGAATAAATGCGACACAAACATGCTTTTTGCATCAAATGACAGAGTTGGGAGTATGAAGATTTTTAGAAATAAGAGTTTCTATAAAAATTAACTAAAGTAATATCCTTACATTCGATTAAGTACGACAGTCGATTCCTTGCCTTATACTAGAACTTTCCCAGATTAAATCTTCAAGCTGCATTTGGGCTCTTTATACGATAACTGGGAAATAAAGTGAAATCTTTCCTCAAAACTTGTTTCTTCAGGATCCTACAGATCAAAGTTAGCTGACTGGACTTCCAAAATTTAAGTTATTTAAACCATCAGCTAATCCCTACATCCTAGGGAATGACGGCCGTGCCCTTTTTCATATTAAAACTTAAATTTTTATCTGCACTTGATCCTGCATCGCTATAATGTCCTACCTAACTCAAAAATAGGGTCCTACCAGAGGTAACCATTTCTTTCTTTATACTTGAACTTGGATATCTCATATTTCAAGTGAAATCTTTCGTCAAAACTTATGGCTGCAAGATTGAAATGATCCAATAGCACAAAGGTAGTTTACTTTTTAAAAAAATAATTGTGGAAACTTTACCGACGTTATTGTTCCAACAAATAATGGACTTGAATTTCGTCCTTGCGATCCTCAGCCTTCGATAGGACTTTAAGAATCTCGCTCTTGCCCAAAATAATGGCAACTGAAGTAGAAACAGTGAAAACTTTTTGAGTGTTAAACCATTGAATATACCACTCGTTCTAAAAAACTTTGGGTTGTGCGTCTTCATGCCTTCGTCAATGCAGCGCTCGACAGAGCCTTTCTGCTGAGGTTCATTGATTTGTTGCTTAGAATTTTGAATGTTTAGGATAATACAAAGGCTTTGGCACTTCTTTGAAAATTACTTCGATGTAAACAAAGATCGTCAATGATCAATAATAATTTTTTTGTCTTAAATAAGAATTTTGGATCTATAACATGTCGAGGAAATAGCATCATAATTAAATGATATGCTAATGTGAAATATTTATGTGGGAGCCAAGTTAGGGACCTCCATAAGTACCCAATTTAAATCTTTATTAGTAAAAAATATTTTGTTAAACGTCAGGAACAAATATTTGGCCAATTAAAAAAAGGTAAGTGGGTACGATGGTAATAAACATCCTTACATTATGTGTTAACCACAATGGCCGTTATATAAAAAGTTATGTTTTATTACCGGTTTTGCATAATTATTCAAAAAACTAACCATTACATGAACATTCCATTTTTTATTTCTAACACTTCTATTACCACTTTAATTTATATTGTTGTTGTTTTTTTTATATGACAATTCCCGACCAATAAATGTATCGTGACAACATTTTGTAAATTGTAATAATTTTTCTATGCTAAAAAGGGTTGTTTTTGTTATCGTTATAGAAAAAAAACAACAATACAAACGAAAAAAATTCGGTACAATTTGCATAAATATTAAATGAATTGGAAAAGATGTAATTGAAATGACTTATGCACGTTAAAATAAATTACAAATTCACATTTATAAAAAAAATAACGTATTTTTTTCCAGAGCTCTTACAATTTTGTGTTTGAATAAATGATTGCGGGTATTTAATAGACAGAATACAGAACCACGGTATGTGATGTACTATTTTGTAAATAAATTCAGACAATAATTTTTTTTCCAAATCAAATTTTAACATACAAACAGCTATGAAGTGGTTGAAAATGTACACAAATATAAAAAGATACCGAGTGGATTGTAGAGTGTTGTCTGATGGTTAGACACGGCTGAAGTGTGTAACAAAAATTTGTACTGTGTAGAGTGTGCCTGCTTGCTGGCTGACTGGCTAGCTGCTGACCTTTTCAAATCAAGTGGAATTATTAAAAACACTTACAAATCTTTAAATGTACTTTTCAATTTTGATGACATGTAAATTTATGACCTTTTCAAATTTGTTTTAACTGTTTTTGTTTTATTTTCTCTTCTTAAATTATAAATAATAATATGTATATAGACAATTATATATATACATATGTATGTAAGTATGTGTGCTAACAGACACATATGTATTTATATCATATTTATTTTTATTACTTGTGTTTTGAAAAAGACCGTACGTTAAGAATTCGTAATTAAGACTGAACATTTAATTTGTTTTGTGGCATTTTAACAAGGATTTATGTATAAACAATTGCTGCGAAGAACATCATCACAGCATGTACTTTAAGAATTTTTATTTGGAATATGTTGTGCTGAACTTTGTAAAGTGTTGTTGGCACTTTAAAAGATTTCAAAAGACGTAGTTTGTAGAAAAATCAATAGTAAAGGGATTTGTTATATGTAGTTCTAAATTTGTGTAACATATAGAGTATATGAAAAATTTGATTATAATAGATTATACAAAATACTAATGATTAATAGCTTAGGTTAAAAAAATACTACTAAAATTTTTATAACTTGAGAGCATTTTTTAAAACTTAAGAACAATTTCGTCCCTAAGGAGGAACTATGAAACAAGCACTGAATCTACAATTAAATTTTACTCGGATTTTTACAGCATATTGTATTATCGGTTTTTATTTGAAACAAAAAGTATATTTTTATACCCACCATTATTCCCTTTGTAACACATCGAAATATTTGTCTATGACCCATAAAAGTAAATATATTCTGGGTCCTTAATAGGTTTTGTCCGACAGATACTTTTAGTTGATGCAGTTTGTTTGGTATTGAAAATGGGCAATATCTGTCCACGATTTCGCCTTCTTCTTCAAATATCGGTCTATAATTGACCCTAAGAATTTATGAAAAGTCGACATTACGACTTAAGTTGACTTTTTGACATTTTAAGAATGTAAAATTTTCAATATTTTACAGTATTGAAATTGTCGATATTTCGAAATTTTTTTATATCGACTTTTTCGAAATACTTGGGTGTAAAAAACGGGTTCTTTATATCAACTTTTTGGTTTTTATTTGCAGTGTCTAGGTAGGGACTTCGACTTTTCAAACTTTTTGACAAACTCTGTATTACCCTGTATTACAAATTTCCAAGAAAATTTGGTTCCAAACTATTAGTTATAAACCATTCTTCAGCGGTTTAAATAAACATGAAATGGGAGAAGTCTAAAAGTTATTGAAATATTAGATATAATATTCTGAGACTGCAGAATCTTTATCATCTATTTTGATTTCTATCATAATTCAGAATGTCATTAATTCGGATTAACTCGGATTTTTACAGCATATTGTATTATCGGTTTTTATTTGAAACAAAAAGTATATTTTTATACCCACCATTATTCCCTTTGTAACACATCGAAATATTTGTCTATGACCCATAAAAGTAAATATATTCTGGGTCCTTAATAGGTTTTGTCCGACAGATACTTTTAGTTGATGCAGTTTGTTTGGTATTGAAAATGGGCAATATCTGTCCACGATTTCGCCTTCTTCTTCAAATATCGGTCTATAATTGACCCTAACAATTTATGAAAAGTCGACATTACGACTTAAGTTGACTTTTTGACATTTTAAGAATGTAAAATTTTCAATATTTTACAGTATTGAAATTGTCGATATTTCGAAATTTTTTTATATCGACTTTTTCGAAATACTTGGGTGTAAAAAACGGGTTCTTTATATCAACTTTTTGGTTTTTATTTGCAGTGTCTAGGTAGGGACTTCGACTTTTCAAACTTTTTGACAAACTCTGTATTACCCTGTATTACAAATTTCCAAGAAAATTTGGTTCCAAACTATTAGTTATAAACCATTCTTCAGCGGTTTAAATAAACATGAAATGGGAGAAGTCTAAAAGTTATTGAAATATTAGATATAATATTCTGAGACTGCAGAATCTTTATCATCTATTTTGATTTCTATCATAATTCAGAATGTCATTAATTCGTAATTACTTTGCAATTACGTATATTCTTTAGGATGGTAGTATAATTTATCATATTTTATGTTATTTCGGGACTTGCTTTCCTCCCTTCATTCTGCTTCATTCTTATCTTTTGTATACAATTTTTATTTGGATTAATATTCGGACTTGAACATGTGAGGCTGAAGTTGTCTATATCCATTTGGGGAGCATTAAATAAAAGCTAATGCTAAGAGCTCTAGTAACAGCTCAGTTACATCTGAGACCCATCCCCATGTTTTACTGAAAAAGTTTAATTTTGTGGCGATTTAAATGTAACAATTTGATTTCATAATACAATCATATTCCAAAGCTTAGTTCCATGATATCCAAAATATTCGAGTTTGAGTTCGTCATTTTTAGTAATTCTCTTAAGTATCAATATTTAAACCTTTAACATTTCAACACTTAGCAAATTGTAAAGCAATTTCTGCTCCCGATACAGGGAGTCAACAGCAATCCTTATTTAACTCATCATTATTGAGAAATTTTTTATTATGGGAATATGCAAACCCAGAAATTTTGATCTGATGTAGAATGGTTTGAATTTTTTGTAAAAATATTTGATTTTGCACGGTTAGTCCGAGGTAATATAGTATCTGTTAATGGATTCATCAATACATTTATCAAAGTGTCTTAAAATATTAATCAAATGGACAAAACTTTCGGAACATGAATGGTTAATTGTCTATTTTGCAAATTTACTTTTGGTTACGATATCGCGGCCAAAGAAGTAGATAGAGAAGAGAGCTTAAACCTTATTTTAAAGAGAATATATTGGACTTTTCGAAGGCATAGTAATTTTCATAAATAAAGGTGTCCTTACGCAGTTATAACGTTTCAAATATAGCCGGAAACAAAGTTTTTTTTTTCAAAATTTATGACACGATATCTCAAAAAAATTATGTGTTGGATAAATTCTGAAGCCAGATTCGGATTCGCTGCTGAATCCGTTAGAAAAGCATATTTAATTCTCTGGGTAAAAACTAGTTCTTTCCAATTGTAATGGTTTTCTTGAACACAGAAAAATTTATTTTTAAGACACCAGCAGAATGTAATGCATTTTCGGAGCCCGCTACAGCTCCTCAACATCATTCTTTATACCATATATTACAGTCACATTAAAACATCATCTATTTAACTCACAAGTTTAACACTTTAAAAAATGGAATATGGAAATTAAAACAAAATTTTTTTTAAACCATTACATTTCATTTTCACCAATTTTTCTCGAACCACTTGCTTTTAAAATCAAAAAAATCTTCCAGCACTCACCTTTTTTAACTTTTGTTGAACCGATAACACCGAATTGCTTTTGTATATGATGATTTTGCACTGACAAAACTTCCATTTTCATTAGGAATGATGTGAAGATGTGATCCAAACCGATCAAAACGTTACTACTGCTACGCGAAGCAGGAGCTGATGAAGATAAATTCGTTGTAACTGTAGTGGCGGTAGTACACGGAGAAACCGGCGGTCTATGGTTTGAAATGCTAGCAGCGGTGGTGGCAGTAGCAGGCGTTGCAGGTGTACTTAAGGAAAAAGCGGCGGCTGGTGGCAATGCTTGTGCTAAAGATGATGTTGATGACGACAATGAAAAAGCCGTGGAATTAGCCGGACGGCAGCATTTAGCAGAAGAGCAATTATCGTTGTTATGAATACAACATTGATCGATTGTGGTTGCCTCTACAGCAGCTTCAAGTGAGGGACTTGGTGGTAACGTGTTGACGGAAGGGGTTTTAACACAAATATTGAAAGTAAGGCTTTTCGTTTAAGCGTAAAAGCTGCTTTAAATTTTCAATAATTTTTTTTTTATTAAATTTTATCACAACTTAATTTAAGCAACAAATTTAAAATCCTTAAATTACGGCACTTTTCTTTGAGTGGTTTGTTTAGTTATAAAATGAGCTTTTTTTTATAAAAAAGTTTAATTTCTTCTTCTCTTTGCTGTTGCTATTTTTGTTTAGTCAAGCACCATAAATGAGAAAGCCTACTAAAGAAACCCGTTGTCTTGAATGGAACACAGACGCAGAGTACATCATCACAATCTCTGGAGTGTTTGAGTGCGTGTGATATATTTCTGCTGCAGTTGTTGCTATTACTGCTGGATTGTGTTTGACAGTCAGCTATGCTCGCTCTCCCAGTGATTATTCTCACATTTGGTTGACAAGTAGTTAAGAAAAATGTTGTAAAAAGAAAATACAATTGACAATTTTCTTACTGTTTGTTGTTGCCGAGTAAAACTCAAGTTTATGTAAAAGAAAATTAAATTGAAAATAATTTCATTGTATTTAAACAACAAAAATGATGAGTAGTTTTGTATGTTTGCGGCGTTAATTATTTATGACTTTTTAACTGCAGGCACTCACGCGTATAATTTGCTTATTTTCTTCTTTGTTCTTTTTTTCTATTCATTCCCTTCGCCTTAGTTTAAAAAACATTAAACTCTTTAAAAGTTGTTGTTGTTGTAGTATTTGGCAAAAAGAAAACTAAAATTAAATGTAATTTAATGCTTTTTTAGTTTGTTGCTAAGGGCAGATTTATTGTCTATTGCGCTATTGTTGCAGAAATGTATAAAAAATTGCAGCCAGTTACAAAAAAAAGTTCACACAATTTCCATTTTTTTCTTTTCACACTTTTTTATGTTAAAAACCTGCTCATCATTGTCTTAAATTGCATTAATTTTTTCCATTTTCCAAGTACTAATTATTATTTAGTTTTTATTTAAAAACAACAAATAAAAGTTTTAAAACAAACTGCAAAAAATTGTTCAAGCCAAACACTTTGAAAAAAAAAAAACTACAACAAACACTTTAAATATAAAAATTCATTCAATTTATGTACGAAGAAGAAGAAAAATAACAAAAACAATTGGGATTCTTTAATTTTGCAATAATTTTTTCTTATTAAAGCTTATTCGTCTTTTTGTTGTTGCTGTTATGGTTAAATTTTGCCTGGTTTTAAGTTCTTTAACAAAGTTTTTTCTTTACATTCTGAATTCTTGGCAATTTTGTCCGCTTTTCCTCTACTTAAACTCGCGTTAGCCAGCAGTGCTACAAAGCTACTATTCCGGCCGGTTGCCATGCAGGGTTTTTATAGTTTTTCTTTCATACACTCAAGCGTTGAGTGAGTTGTTTCAGCACTACTCAACTCTGCTGCTAATAAAGTTCTTTATTTGCTCATTAAATGCGCATGTGCTTGCCCAAGATTTCTTTCTCCCTTAACAGTTGTTTTGTAATTGAGTGGTTTTAATTTACAGATGTTCCCTGTTTATATTGATGATATGGTGGTGGTGGTTGGCAACAAACATATGATTATTTTTAACTGCTGTTTTCTTATTTTACTCATACGGTAATCAGCTGTTGGTATTGAGTATTGTAGATAAAATGTTGGCTCAATTTTAAAGAGAAGTGGGAACAGCATGTCTTAATGGGAACAGCAATAATCAGCTGTTGTCTGCAAAGTCTAGTGTTACCAGTGTTTAAATGGGATTGTATGAAAAAATAATTCAGCCCTATTCAAGAAATTATTTTCAATTAACTTAAAAAAATTAGCAGAAGTAATGGACCATATCACCGTTGGTAGAATCTAGCGTAGAAGTCTACTTAAGGTGCCAGTTAAAAACGGAGCAGATTGCTTTACGTGCCATTACCTTGTAATTGCCACTATCCGCTTAAAAGTTGCCGTGGACCTGAATCAGCGGCAAGAAAATACGACATGAAATTCCTACAGAACCCTTGACATAACTACACCAAAGAGCTTATAGCAGGATTGAAAGTGGAACGTGCGTCCTCCGTTAGAGAACGGAAAATCATTCGGTCATGCTTTCAGGACGATTCTAGGGAGTATCTAGGTTATAGATCATCACGGAACAAGCATTGGATATCAGATAATACACGTCATCTAATACTTTTAAGTAAACATGCCAAAATCTGCTATCTATGGCTGTGGGAGGTACAACAAAATGGTAAAGCGTAGCGCTAAATTGTATAGAAGACGTTTTTACAAACAACAAGCTTCTGATGATCAGAAAGCTGCGGAGAAGATCAGACTAAGAATCTGTACAGAACAGAAGAACAGAACAGTACTGAGCGCAGTGAAGAAGCTCATAGCACACATTATTATGATCAAATTAACAAGCTGGTACATAATAAGTCATTCACTGATCACAAATCCTTGATAATCTGAATCTGAAAAAATATTAAAATGTTTTTAAACTTTCAAGCCATTTTCTCGAACGTTTTTTAGATTATGCCAGTCTTGTTCAAAATGCCTTGAAGTTTTGCGACTGAGCGATATTCGAAATTCGGGCTGTATTGAAGAAGAATTATTGCAAATTAAACTATATCCCAGGCATCGAAAATTGAAAAATTTGAAATAGTACTTACTTATGACAAAAATTTTATTTTTTTTATATAAATGGATTATAGTCTAGACTATAGACTAGGATATTTACTATAGACTATAGATTAGACTAGACTACAGACTAGACTATAGACTGGACTATAGACTAGATTATAGACTAGACTATAGACTAGACTATAGCCTAGACTATAGACTAGACTATAGCCTAGACTATAGACTAGACTATAGACTAGTCTTGATGTCTAGTCTTGATGTTGAGTGAACATTATTCCCTCAACATCAACAAAGAGAACACATTGATATCGAAGGTAGAACGGAGAATATACCGCCAATATCAGAAGAAGAAATAATGGAAATAGCGAAAGGAATAGGAGACCAAAAAGCCCCGGGACCAGATAGCATCCCAAACAGCGCTCTGAAATTGGCAGTTATGAAAAGTCCAAGTGTATTCATCAACACTTTCGACCAGTGTCTTTAAGAATGTATTTTTCCTGATCAGTGGAAAAAACAAACGCTAGTGCTAATTCCAAAACCTAACAAACCCTCTGGAGAACCCGCTTCTTACAGACCAATATGTTTATTGGATACAGTAGGAAAGATACTGGAGAAACTTTATCGTTTATTACCAATCGTTGAAATGAGTGGAGGCCTGTCAAAGCGGCAATTTGGTTTTCGTAAAGCGAAATCTACAATCGATGCAATTTATATGGTCAAGGAAACAGCACAAAAAGCTATTAGAGGTAAAGGAACATGTAAAAAATATTGCGCTGTGATAACTTTGTTAAAAATGCCTTCAATTCAGCTAATTGGGAGCTTATAATCAAATCACTCGGCAGACTCGGTATTCCAAGATATCTGATAAAAATTATGGACAATTATTTTTCAAAAAGAAAGCTATGGCACAGATGATGGTGCCAAGACATATGATGTCACGGCTGGTGTCCCCCAGGGGTCCATATTAGAACCCTTGCTTTGGAACATTATGTATACCGGAAGAAGCGAATATAGTCGGCTTTGCAGACGATATTGTAATAACAGTGTCAGCAAGATACCTTGATGAAATAGAAATGCTCGCTAATAAAACCACGGGAATTATAAGAGCATGGAAGAAAAGCGTAGGCCTTGAATTAGCCGAGCATAAAACGGAGGTAGTTCTGATTACAAGTCGAAGAAGACTTGAAAACATCAAAATAAGATTCGGAAACTGCGAGGTGATGTCCAAACCTTGCCTTAAATACTTGGGGGTCATGATATACGCTAGACTAAACTTTAAAGCTCATATTGATTACATATTTATGTCAAAAGCCATCAAATGTTAGAGTTGCAATTGAGCGAATGATACCGAACGTTGGAGGTCCTAGGCAATCTAAGAGAAGAATAGTTTCTACGGTCATCACCTCATTAATTCTCTACGCAGGGTATATTGATGACGAAGGAGGTGGTTTTTTAATCGGTAGGAATCCGACATAATCTGTTAGTGCAGTACTACAGGTATCTAATGAAAGATTTTTACACCTGCCTCACAAAAAACAAAAAAAAGGCTAGACTATCGACTAGATTATATACTTGACTATAGACTAGACTAGACTATCGACTAGACTAGACTATCGACTAGACTAGACTATCGACTAGACTATATACTTGACTATAGACTAGACTAGACTATAGACTAGACTATAGACTAGACTAGACTATAGACTAGACTATAGACTAGACTATAGACTTGACTATAGACTAGACTATAGATTGGACTATCGACTAGACTATAGATAGACTATAGACTAGACTATAGACTAGACTATAGACTAGACTATAGACTAGACTATAGACTAGACTATAGACTAGACTATAGACTAGACTATAGACTAGACTATAGACTAGACTATAGACTAGACTATAGACTAGACTATAGACTAGACTATAGACTAGACTATAGACTAGACTATAGACTAGACTATAGACTAGACTATAGACTAGACTATAGACTAGACTATAGACTAGACTATAGACTAGACTATAGACTAGACTATAGACTAGACTATAGACTAGACTATAGACTAGACTATAGACTAGACTATAGACTAGACTATAACTAGACTATAGACTAGACTGTAGACTAGACTATAGACTAGACTATAGACTAGACTATAGACTAGACTATAGATTAGACTATAGATTAGACTATATACTAGACTATAGACTAGACTATGGACTAGACTATAGACTAGACTATAGACTAGACTATAGACTAGACTACAGACTAGACTAAAGACTAGACTATAGACTAGACTATAGACTAGACTATAGACTAAACTATAGACTAGACTATAGACTAGACTATAGACTAGACTATAGACTAGACTATAGACTAGACTATAGACTAGACTATAGACTAGACTATAGCCTAGACTATAGACTAGACTATAGACTAGACTATAGACTAGACTATAGAGTAGATTATATAATCAATTATACACTATACTGTAGACTAGACTATAGATGGACTATTTTGTGGACTTTTTACCAAAAGTTTTGTACGTTATCGATATCAAAAAGTATTGAAAGAAGTACAAAAGCACAAAATTTTCCATGCCTTGTGTGGCCGTTAAAATTTGAAAAAAAAATGTAACACAGTAATTTGCCTTTCGAGCCAATCAAGCTGAGCGTAATTTATTTAATCAACAAACGAGTTCAATTGCTAAAAGTGTTGCGAATTATAAATAAAAAGTGTATGAATGTCTGTCTATTCGTCTCTTTGTTGTCATCATCTTGTTGTTGATTTTTTCGAACTATTGTATTATTTATGTTTAAAATTTATGATGTGAATATATTGTGTTTAGCGTATGACGTTTCGGACTAATGGGATGGATAGATATGTAGATGGATGGTTGTATGTATGTACATCAGAGTGTGCAGCAAATATACAAAAATAAACAAATCATAACAAATTAAGAGTCAACTAAAAATAGACGAACTATTTTAACGATTTAATTAAATATTTCATTTTTTGTTCACATCAAACAACTTGATCATCGGCCACAGAGCAGAAACATAATTATTTAGGGGACTCACTGTTTTGGTTGATGTTTTTAGTTATTAGATTGATGTTGACAGTTGTAAATACTGCAAAATTGCCATTTTTAAATCCAGTTAACTTTATCGAAATCTATAGTCAGATTTTGGGCGAAGTTAATGGTATTGATTTCCTTAGTTAGTCAGATATGATAAATTTATAATTCGCTCTTTCCTTGTCGACTACTCCAGAACGGCTTGGTATCCATATGATGTAAACCTTACTTCTGGAAGAGTATTCGGTTAAAGCTTTCTTACAATTCAATACTGTCTTAGATTTAACTTTAATTGACTTCTGGCTGTCGGTAAATATGTTAACCCCTGTTGGCGCCATATTTATTCTATTCAAATTTAGGCATTCCTTTATTGCTTGGACTTCTGCCTGGAAGCTAGTATTAGGATTATTTAGACGGTAGTATATTTATGTTTCTGGGTCATCAATATATCTCAGAAACGTTTTGTCTCCCTCAGTTCAGGATTCTTGGGGGAATTTGCTCTAATGTTCCGCTTGAACATGACATTCTATCTTGGATCAGTGTTTCAAAGTTCATGACTTATTCTGCGTCTGGTATGCGATCGGGCGCCTTCGATGTTTTTGTATATACTTCCAAAATTTTACATTCACAACTGTGAGCATCCTAAATAATATGTTTAAATTG